AGTGGATACTGCAGTATGTTTTGCAATCACTTATCCACTCAATAGAGATTTATCTGTTGGATAGCATTATCCACCCTTTATACAACTGGGCCCTGATGATTTGATATCATTACCTAGTTTCACCATTCATACTTCTTTTGAAAGAGCATGGTTGACTTTCTTTAGGTGTCTCTGTCACCACACAGCTCATCAAAACCAGGGCTGTCTCCTCTCTTAAGTTTAAAGTGCTCAGCACACTCTACAGAGGAGAGATTCAAGAACAACCAGTGAGGAATATTATGCTATCAAAAGCAGTGCATGAAATACATTGGAGGGGTTTAGGAAGGTTCTACTTGTTATAGCCTAATTAATTGGGAGTAACTCTTGACTGTTAACCAACTACCGTGCTTACATGTAAGTGGAAGGTACATGCCTAGGGTTTCCAGGGGTTCTCACTGTGTCCAATCAGACCCTGATAAAATTCTACATCACTGGTTTGCAAATCCCTGCCATCCAGCCATAAGTTACCATTCCAGGCACCCATCAGCACAGATTAGAACTGTCAGGGTGGGTTAAGTAGTGTAGGATGTAGGAAAATGACAACTATAAAACAGCTCAAGACAATCACTACCACCTTGCTTGAGAACCTCATACATGCAATAAAGGGTTAAAACACTTTAACCCCTAGGAGTGATAAGTAACTATTTTCCCCTATCAGTATTACCCCTAAAACAAACATTAAGGTCATGAGAATGAAGGAAATGATCACTAACTAAAGAATCTAGTGATTGTTAAACAAATTCTCCTTGTCAGCACCTTAAAAAATGTATGATGAACTGTAAGGAGAATATGCATACTGATATAAGGGTGTAAAGGGTAAATATAGTGAGAATGTTCCACAAAAGCCTGATATTGACTAAGCGCTGATGAAACATACCTGCTTAGCAAGTGGTGATTACAACTTAAGTTTGTAACTTGTCTTTTAACTACATGTAAATTTGAAAGAAAAAAAAGCCATCTTTGTGTATTTTAACACTGGTATAAACCTTACCTCATCACTTATCTGCAGATGGTGTGGCCATCCTAAAAGACTTTGTTGGTCCATTGGTAAACCAATCTGCATCTCTAGCATTCGCTTGATTGTACCTGAATTAAAGAGACAAATAAAATACACCATGAGTCACAAGTGCAGGCAGGAATAGATGCTATCTGTGAGGTTCTTATGAAGAGATGGAAGATAAACCAAGGATTATAAACTAGTCATTACACTAGTCATTACAGGATTTAAAACTGTTTTGGGATTAATCCTTAACCCCTTAGCTCCCAAGATCTGATTGTTAATTCTCCTCTCTAGCTGCTATACATTTCCTTGTGAATTAGTCACAAGAATTTAGTGATAGATCAAGGTAAGAACTTCTACCTGATAGGTTTGAGTATTCTCATTACCTAATTGCTGGATAAGGAGAAGTTACAAGTTGATCACTTTAAGGAGTTAGAGGGTCAATTCCAACATCAGATTCTACAATCATAAATTCTCCCTTCTGCCTCCATTGAATCTTGTGAGGTGAAGTTACATGCTGGTCACTTAAGATGGTGGGTTAAAATCTTCACTCCCAAGATCTCGTTAGTAATTCTCCTTACTGTCTGCCACACAATTCTCATATAAGTTTGAAGAATTTGGTATTTGATCAACTAGTCATTCTTAACTGATATTTTTCTTAACTTTCATCACTTGTCTGCTTGATATTGTATTGAAATTTTAGGGAGAATTCCTGTCATAGTCACTCGTGGGAGTTCAAGGGTTTAATACTTCAACAACAACATCAACTGTACCTATAGTTTCAGTCTCATCTAACACAATTGGAATAGTTCTTTCTTTCCACTCAATCAGAAACTTTATTCTTCTTGAGGATGGTTGTAAAGGGATTGCATTTCCAATAACCTCCCCAACAGAAACTGATGATATCGTAGCACCACCTGAAAACTGGTCTGTAACCCAAGTAGCATCAGGTACAGGAGCCTCTGGCATGCTAAATGGTGTAGGAGAGTATAAAAACAAATTAGCAAGTGCCTCAAGATTGTAAATGTGACAGGAGTAAAAAAAGAATGGTTAGTAATCAGCCAGACATAAATGCTGAAGTTAAGCCCCATGGTGGATTGTAAAAACATGACATTTAAAGAATAAACTCTTTCTAAAGTTGTAAGGTTATTGCTTTGTCAAAAGCCCTTCATCTTGAGCTCTTTATTACGCCTTTCTTGGAGTAAAGTGGTCTAAGGAAGAGCTTACATTCAAACATCAGTTTCACAAACTAATAATGTATATTTTACAGATTGTAATAAAAAGACAGTAAATTGGGTGAACCTACAATCAGCATCAAAATTAGTTGACACATAATATTTGAACAGTACTATTTATCTGGAGAATAATACTCTTGTTTCTACCACACTCTAAATCATTGACAAGACCCTCCATCCCCACTACCCATTCATTGTTGCCTTTATGTAGCTAAAGGTTCATGGAATCATGATAAAACATTGTTTAGGGGGGGGGAAGGGGGCAGATAGGTTGACTTAACAAGGTCAATAAAGATAAAATTGAAGTGACAACAGGTTAAAGAGTTCACTTTGTCAACATTTTTGTTGCCAATTATAGAACTATCAATCATCTCTATGTAAATGCTATTATTATCCACACAAGGCTGACACCATGAGAGCAAGGAGAAATTATCAAAACAAACGAAGAAAAAAGAGAGACATTGAAATGCAATTAAGGTTTCTCTACATTGCTTATTGTGTATTCCACTACTATCAAGCATGCAGGGGTAATCCTGAGAACATGTACTGTTGTTCTGCAGCAATGTCAAGTAACATGTCTGCACTACCTAATAAAATTATCAAAAAGGTCTTCATTCATTTAATACCAAGATAACTTTTCTGCATTCTTGTTAAAGAAACTCAACTTGATTTAGAGTGATTTAGAACTTGGTATGGAGTATATTTGCGATGGATGACATTCTCTTAGTCAACAAAAGAGGCCACATGCCCTAAAATTAGTCAGCAATTATTTCCCCATTATAAGGAATTGTAGATACGAGAAAAATATTATTGAAAGTCGGTGAGGATTTTTTTTTTAAATACTTTTCAGCAACGTTTGCAAAGAAGTAATTAGAAGAATAATTGAAGAACTTTACAATTTCTCTGCAGTCTTACAAAACTGCCTTCATGTTCACGTTCGGTGTTTTGTGACAAGTCACGGTAATAATTAACTCTTTCATTAAAATAATTGATCCATGTAACATTGTCTACATGTAAATTATTATTTATTAAACTTTCTACGAATCACGCGCTTAGAGATTCAGTCGATCAAAAGTAACACGAAAGTAATTTTGCCATCTAAAGAAGGTCTAGGATCTATAAAAGGAATATCGAATGTGGTTATGACAGATTATTTGGAAGAAAGTCTAGGATTGCGTACAATTCCCATTCGGGAAATATCTAGATTCAAACCACATCATTTAATTAAGCTGAATTTTTTTATTATTATATAAGACATGACATGATATAAAGCATATAAACAACACAAACCGTAAAGGCGAATCCGTCTCGTCGGCTAGGACTGAATTCACACATGCCTAAAATCGTTACACAGTAAAATAGACGAATCAGAGCCAATAAAACAAGAGACAACGGACATCTCAAAAAAAAACTCGAGGGAAATAATCACAAACCGTCAAGTCCCAATTGTGATGGTCCAGGAGTGTAATACATTCATCCAAATTCTCGATTCCCGTTATACTCTGTTGAGAAAATGTAAGAGGAACTCGCACTTAGGAAGAGGTAGAAGAAATATGGAAAAATTAGCGATTTACCTGAAAGTTTGCGAGGACCATCTCTCGGTCGCCGTCTCCTGCCATCTTGGATTTTTCTCTGGTTCATAACAAATCATGCGCATGCGTTGTGAAATTGCGAGCATCAGAATGATTGAGCGGAAGTGACGACATTCGGTGCTAAGTAGGACTATGACGAGGGTGGAGTGGGTGAGATAGTACCACAAATTACTTCGAGAACTTGCTCAATAACCCTTCTCGTTAGAGAAAGAAGAGGACGTGGCTAATAGTGCCGATGACTTTTGTAACGGATAGGACCTATGATAATCAAGGGCTTCCTTTCCTGCTCTTTCCTTCAGGAAAAGCGTATTTTTATTTTTTTTGTTGCAGCGGGTTTTAAGCTGCGAACGAAATTGAGATAGGTAGAGAGGGAACGGCAATTTTTCCCAAGAATCGGGAATTCTGAACCATTTTAAAGAACTAACGCCCAAAACTTTTGCAATGGACTTTGATCAAAATAAAAAAGGAACTCTTGATTTTTCAAAGCTATTTCCTACTCCCACAACAAATATTACAGTCCGAAAAATATAGGAATGTTGATAAACTTTGTCAGAAATAGAGCTCTCTGCTTCCATCGTAATACTCCTCCACCTGCTCGTAAGTTCCAAGGTGCCTGTCTGGTCAATGGATGAAATGATATCTTACAAGCGAGGGCCAGGCGTGAAAAAAGGCAGGTCTGGTTAGACGACAGCCATTTAATGAGTCATCGTCATCAATTTGATGATTAAAAAAATAATGGTGTCGTGCTCGTCACAATATAATAAGGATATGAGAAACACAACCGATTCTGGGGCTATCTGGCAATACGGTCCGTGGTCAGTACAACCTGATAACTTGTGTGCCTTTTACTTCGGTTGGTGGGTTGGTTTCGTCCATGCAAAGGCAATTAGATTCCAGTTGTTTCGGGAGCCCGAAATTCTAATTTTCTTGTCTTACTGCGAGTGAATAATGTACAGAGAGCTTTGAGACAGTTCCGGTTTCAGTTAGTCAGTTATTATACGCAAATGATTTCGAGAGAAATTCAGAAAATCGAGAAAGAGGAATCCGAAAAATACCATCAAAAGGTATTCGCCTCTCCTTCAGTACGTAGCAAGGAAGTGGTACGTGCTTATAGCATTGTTACAGCTTATCTGATTAGTGATAAGTAAACACTTTAATTGAAAGGGGTCGGCGAGGCTTCAGTTAGCATCCTCTCGTTAGTAAGTCTTACATTGCTTCGAGTTCAAAAAATTTTGCGTGTTCCAATCGGCTAATAATATACAAAGCCTGCAAAAAGGTTTAAAACTATTCCCCTGTTTCTTCCTTACGAATGAGATGAAAAGTTGTCCAAGAGATCAGTTTCAAGACATTATCTCACCATGTCAGCGGCGTTATGACAATCTGAACGATTTTTATTCTTATGCAATAAGGCTAACGAGCTTATCAATCATTACCCATGCCACGGAACACTTTAAAAGGCCGTGAAACTTTTATAATTCCATTAGAACTAGCTTCAGCTTTTTGAACTGATATTCTTAAAAAAATTCAATTTTGCTTGTTACCTTATCTTGCATACAACACAAGGTACTTGTGGGCCGTGCTTAAACCACAAATACAAATAAGAAACAATTCATAAAATGGAAAAATGTATTGATCAAGGAACTTCGAATAATTCACTTCAAGAAATTGCCTTCAATTGCTGGATATACATCAGAAGCTACAAAAAATCTAACATGATGTGATGTCATCTTTCAGGGATTCGGGGAGCTGTCCTTTGAAGGCGACAAATGTTATTCTTAAGGAAGTTCCGGTCATTTTACTGTTATGATTGCTTCCTTCTGATATAGAGACTTCATTTACGTGGCTGGCTTTTCTAAACAAAAGGCACACATGGCAGCAATTTGAAATTCATTAAACACATTAGTTCACTTGCAGGAAATTCTTATATTTAAAGTTCCATATCATTAGCAATGTCCTTTTTTTCTATGTCCATTATATTCGTACTTCATGTAAAGTTGATCCCTGGTCAAGTGGCTTGTCAGGCAGCCATATAGCATCTCTGCGGGTGGGCTGTTACAATATTCGAGTTGCTAAAAAAGAAAGGAGCATGACTGTTATTCCCAACCTGATAATACTATCGTTGCAACTTTCATTTTCGAGGAAGAAAGGGTGCCACCAAATAATATTGTGAACCAGCACTCAAAGACAGAACTATTCAGCAGCACGCAAGATCTGAGGTGCAAAATCGAACTGGTCATTTTTACGTTTCATGCTGTCATCAATCACCATGACAACGGAAGCAAAATGGATCTATATCCACCAATCACAGCACCTTAACGTAAATTTTCACACTCTTCAAAATATATTACCTTTTTTCCTGAATTGTACCGAGCCATGATTGATGGCTGCATAAAATGCTTGCTCATTGCGCTTGGTGCTTCTCAAAAACAAAAGATTTACGGTTATCTGAAGTTTTGCTAGCATCAGGTGAAAAATGATTTTTTTTTGTTACAGAGAAACCAAAACGCAGTCCAGTATTCTTACAAGATCTGAGAGTGAGAGGTAAGTGAATCTAAGCTCAGTTTTTTAGGTAAAAGAAATGAAACATACTATCCTATACACATATACCTGAAATCACCAGAACTTAAATCGGGAATACCACTTTTCTCCACTTCGAGCCTTCTCCTGGATGATCTGTTGTCCTGCATTAACATCTTTAACTTTTGATAATATCTCCGCGTGACGCTTGGCTTCTTCGAAGTATTCCACGCGTTGTTTCCAGCCGGGTTTGGCTTCATTCTTCTCAGATTCTATGACAAGCTCCAGATACTGCACTTGAGTTAATGGGTTGGGTTTCAGGGCAATTTCGTCCAGTCGACGAAGGCTTTGCTGCGCTTTGTTTATCATGGTCAGTACACCGCTGTGCACACCTTGAAGGAATTCTTCAAGTTGTTCAATCATGCCTTCGATCTTAGACTTTCCTGAAACAGCTCTTTCATACTTCATTTGCAGGTCGGCAGAAGTTCTGGTTTCCACGACTGATTCGTACTTGATTATATAAGGAAGGTTTTTGTGATTCGACCAGAAGCAGTTTAACGTGCAAATTCTGCAATTTCCAGTTGCTGAATTCATGGCCCAACAGCCACGCTTGCTGGAGTCATCAGCAATCATACAATTCTGGTGGCACGTGTAATTGCATTTTAGGCAGGTGGTGGTGTGTCTCCCAGTTCCTTTGAGATCGATATAATTTGGCTTTGTTATAACAACTTCATAAGTGAAATCTTTGTTGGTTTCAATCTCGCTGACATGATGTTGTAAAACAAGCTCTTCTTGCCTCATTTCTTCAATCTTGTTGAGGCCCATTGTAATTTGAGGGTTCAGACCTTCAATCAAGATTTGAAGCTGTTCACGTTCATTCAAGACCTCTTTAGTTAGTCGAAGACTAACACTTTCTGCTTTTGCAAACTCAGTAAAAAAGTTCTGAAAGGATAGATAACCCATCTTCCAAAACATTGCATCAAAGCTCTCTTCCGTTTCTTTGTTTTTGGCAAAAAGGGCTGAATTGTTGAATTTGAAGTACTTGCCACTTGGAATGTTGGCTCTACTGATGGCTTCAAGAACTGGGGGATGTTGGCCATCTGCAAAGGTCAGCATCATAAAGATATTTTTGGAAACGTCGTTTCCAAATATAGATAGGACTGAATTGAAGATGTACTCTTGCGTTGGAGTGAGACGTGCCAGGGAAGCTTGTGTAACGAATCCAACTGCATCAAGGTGGTCGATACCATTTGGTGGGGGGATGGAAAAGAACTCCTTAATCTGACTGATAATAAGCCTATCCCTCTTCAGACCTTCTGTATCACCAAACCCTGGCGTATCAATTATTGTAAATATGTACGGAATGGCTGAACCTTTCTGAGGATAAATAGTGTAAGCGGTGATGTCCTTCGTCTGACTGTAAGCTTGAGATACGCTTTTGTCCTCCTCGATGAGTTTAAACCGAAAATCGTCCTTCCACTCTACTCCCAAAATGTAATTCACCATGCCATTGATCAACGTTGACTTGCCAGCTCCAGTAGCTCCTACTACCATAAGAACTTTCTCAGAAGGTCCTCCTTTAACTCTTTTGGGGGGCTTTCCGATGCTTTGTTTCGTAATCATGCTGTTTTGTCTTCTCATTCTTGTGAACATTGGGAGTTTGTAAATTGACGGGGTGCCATCTTTAATCTTCTTCGAGGAGGGGAGCAAAACCTCTGCCGGTTTATAAGGAACAAAAAACTTTGTGGCCTTATCATGCGAGGTTTTACTATTTTGCCAGACACCACTTGTCCGTTTACTCTCTAGCTTGCTTGCAGTATTTTCTAGATTCTTTCCGCTGATTGCTTCACCGCCTTTCGCTCCTTCGACATCGTCTCTGGACTTGGAGGACGATGAATCCTTAGCCTTAGCTCCATTTAGACTGTGGCTCTGTTTATCTGAGGATGACTCACTCTTCTTCTTGTGGAGGAGGTCTGGTTCGGGTTGATTCACGGGATCTTCAGTAACAACACTGTCACTAGTAGCACTTACAGCACTTCTACCAGCTTTGCATTCGCTGTTCACCTTGAAAAGGTAGGTAGTTTTTGCCTTCAGTCCATCAACTGTGATCGTATTCTCTGGTCCCACAGTGGGCAATGACTTCCAATCGCCGACAGAAGGTCTGAAGTGGACTGTGTAACTCTGGACCGTTTCTTTTCCATGTGGAGACTCTTCCCATTGTAGAGTAATACTAGAGGCACTTTTCAAAGTTGCAAAAGGCTTTCCAGGCCAACCGGGAAGTTCAAAATCCGTAGATTGACCGCCATCATACAGACGGACACCAAGAACTCCTTCGCCTGTGTCCTTCTGAACGTTTGTGACGATGAACTTTGTACGCCCGTCATGTTCATTTTCCCGGACAAAATCCCTGAAATTTCTTGCCTTAGCCTTGCTTTCATTAAGTATTTCAGGATTTTCATACCAAGGTTGTAGTGAGAGATGTTCCGGTGTCCAACTGCCAGTTCGTAGAAATGTATACAGTTGTTCAACCAGTGCATCTTCATTCCCAGCCGTCATCAGGGAAAAGGAAACAACCTGATCATACTCCAAGCAATTGATCACACTGTCAAGATCTTGCAAAGTCGTAACCAGTTGGATTCCCCTAAAGAATTCCAGGTACATGGACAACAGTTTTATCTCCTTCTTCATGCCACTGATCCACGACGAGAGGCGGTCGTGATGAAACGGAGAAGACGCAACTGAGTTGAGAGCGTCGGTAAGTACTTGCTCTTCTTCATCACCTCCTCGCACCACTGGCAACATCTCGGAAATTGTCTTAAGAATGTTCTTTTTGTACCTGGAAACCGCTTTTCCGCATCTTGCGATCCGCTGTTTGATTGTAGGAAAGGTGGAACATGTGTTATCATCGACGAGGCTACATAAACTCGTTTCAAACTCGTTGAAATTTGCCAAGACGTTTTGCAAAGCATCAGTCACATGAGGGCTAACCTCGCGCATTCGCCGTACCAGTTGTGGGTTCAAAGTGCTCAGTGGTTGGAGCCAAACCCTTTTAGGAACTTCATACACATGGCTTTCTTCGTTTTTCTTGAGTTCACTGTAGGCCCGCAAAGCATCTTCATAACTCATACCACCGGTGGAACTGGCCTGGTCTCTATCTTCATAAAAAGTACAAACAATTTTACACAGTTCCTCCTCGTCTAGCTCCGTTGCATGTGCAGATCCATTACTTTCTACCCCAGTTTGGGACAAGGAGTCGACAGCAAACTTTAGGTCGGCTTCGACATCGGTAAATGTTTCGTTTTCGTCTAATCTTCTGTCGAAGACGAAAATTGCTTCTCTGCCATATTCTATACGCGATACAAAGTGAGTAGCTGTCATCTCTGAGCTTAGGTCTCTGTGCGGCTCTGTCTTTGCTTGATCCATGCTAAGTTCTTCAAATCTTGATGTGGTTTCATACTTGAGAATAATGCGAACCAGATTGTTCTTCTTGGAGAGGTCCCCATCAATGATGAACTTTACAATTCCATATGGGTTGACTAATCCTGTCATCAAACTCAGTCTAAAGTTAGAGTCAATACCAAAAACCTTTGCCATCTCTTCCACGTTCCCGCTTGGGAAGACTTCGTATTTAGACTGTGGGGAGATGCGCGAGAAGGAGATCTTCTTTTTGATGTCAGATTCCCACAATGCTGGCCCTGTAACAAGGTGGTGACTACGATAGTCGTACAGCATTCCCAACTGAAATGGCTGCCCGAAAGAACGGACATCCAGGACGCCAACGTTGTCGCTCATGTTGTTTCACTATAACATGAATTAATACCAAAAAATACAAAAAAAGGTCATTTATCTATCCGTTATACCTGCTCTTATGATTTGTGTGGCGTTTTGTCATGTGACACCAGTAAGGTTGTTTTTATTCTGTATTCAACGTGTTTAAACTTTACACAGCAGTTGAAATCAAACTGTTCCTTTAGAGCTATTACTGAAGCACCTTCACCAACACAAATGATTATGAACTACTCTGACTCAGTTTTAACTTTTGTTGTAGGGAAAAAAATCTTCTCAAAAGGAGCGAAATTTGTCTTAGTCAACCTGTACTTAGATTAATTAACATCAATAAGCAAATACAACCTCGGCCTCTTCGCAAAAATTTAGTCGAATAATTGACTCAGGTAAAGCACTGGTGACTTTAGTGATGTAAAAGTTGATTCAGTTTGGAACCCTCTGATTTTTAATCAATTAAATTATCATTTCTTTTGCATTCTGACATGCCATACCGTCTGAGAGAGAGCAAATGCAGAGGTGAAGAGACAAATACGCTTAAGAGACGGTTTGTCTTCAGTTTCTCAACACCGTGTTATCAGTTACTGTGACTTAGAATGCCACTTCTGATTAGAAGACAATTTCATAGTTTATTTAAATGTAAAAATGGAGCAATTACATAAGATATTATTCAGAATTCTTAGAAATCACGTTACGCTTGGCCAAATTTCCGGGAATAACCCGTAACGCAATTCCGATTTCCTGACTTTACTCAGCGACTCGTAGGGTACCAGGAGTTTACAGCGATAAATAAGGAGATGCGCTTTTGTTGTCGAAAAATGGTTTGTTTTGAGATGCATCCATGCATTATCATTCGAAGACCGATGTCATAGGCATTAAATTTCCAAGTTTAGCGAACGTAAACGAAGAGGCCTCCGAGCTCTCTCCCTTAAAGACATATAAATTCAATTTATGTTTTTGAAATTCTGGATTAACATTGCCCAGGTTATAAGCGATAACCTGCATCTTTCATGATATGAAATTTATTTGAAAATACGAACCGTCCACTGCCACCACCTAATCGAACAACAAGATCCATTCTTGGCCGGTTGTAAATTTCTTTTAGAGCTATTGCGCATGATTGGTGTTAGTAACAACAAGAAAACGTTCGACCTACCTTTTCAGTGGACGGACGGTTGCTTATCCTCAATTTCCTTGAAGGACACGTAGAGTTACTCGTTTTGGAAATCACTGAATATGCTCAAAACTGCGAAGCCTTTTCCCGGAATCATCGGCAAAAAAGCTGCAAATTTCAATACAAGCAGACGTATTCTTTATGAGTGCTTCTGATTGGTTCCTTTGCTATTTAATCTCAGTTTAACCAATCAAAGCCTGCCAGCTGTGCCGTGTAAGTCAACAGTGCATCATTATTTCCAGTTTGTGCCCCGGGGGACCGCTATCGAAGATGTATTGATTCAAGGTCACAACAATTAGAACTATAAGGGCTAAGTGGAAAGAAAATAAGGCAAAATTTTGTAGAGGTAATTGCACGATTTCGAGTGCAATTTGAAATAAATAAGTACGAGTAGCAAAATTGCACGAGCCCGTAGAGCAAGTGTAATTTCTGGTCTTTGAAAAAATTTACAAGCGTTTATTTATTCCAAATTGCGCGAGAAAAATCATGTGATTACGTATTTATAATATAAATGAAAAAATACGAGATAGTTTATCATAATTTTGCAGAAGGAAAGCGCACGCATCAAGTGCGAAAATAATTTATTCAAACCCTGCAAGTGACATCGTGCGTTCGGTCAAAACAACCGCGTACGATCAAAACAATAATATACAATGATATTTTCACATCTTTACAGCGCAAAAAAAGTGCAAAGTTCGGCTAAAAAGTTCAAGGAATTGTTCAGTCTGGTTTGTTACTTCTTTGCACTGAATTAACCTTCTTCTGCATCGAATTACCTAAAAATTGCATTTACCTTAACCAATCAGAACTGAGTGATTTCTTCATGTATCTTATTAGGGGCTAATTATTATGCTATAATAGAAAAAGAGACGTAGAATCGTCATTTGAAACAGCCTAAACAGGAAATGAGCCGAATTAATCAGCGATTACTCAATATTGTCAAGAAGATGTTGCCTCCTCCTGTTTTCCGAGAATCCAGGAAACGATTCTTAGAAACTGTCAACAAGATATTTTCCGCTTAACTAATGCTTTTGGAACTTGAAACTCCCCATAGGTTGAGGTTAGCTTAGGTTGACCTTATAATGTTGCACTTGATGTGATTTCTTAACTGGGCCATTTCACTACGTGCTCACTCTTTTTTTGTTTTCATCTCAAAGAGGGTATAGATTTAATCATTTATGAAATTAAATTTGATGCTGTCTTTCTATGGATCTGGGGTCGAGAGCTTAGTTTTTATAGCACACAAAACTTTTAGGTGTCATTTAGCGACGAAACAGGATAAGAAAAAATCAGCTACTTAGGTTGCACTGACCCCACTGAAGAAAAATTATCTTGAGGTACCTGCGAGACAGGAGATAAAACGTTTCATAAAATTTGCCATAGTAAATCTGTTTTGCAAAATATGCTATTGACGAAACTTGCTTATGTTATGTTAGACCATAAGATTGTGCACGTGTGCGCGTAATTTCCTTGTTAGGAATGTTGTGAAGAGTTAAGCAAGGTGCTCTACTATGTACAATGAGCTTTTTCAACCATGCAGATTTTTGTATACAAGTACGGCTGACTGCAACATGAAGTATTTTAAAGTACTAGTATGAAACGTGTGGATATAAGAAATACTTCCTAATATGGCTGCTCAGACATTTTAAACCTCTTATCAAAGAACATCTGCAATCTTTTTTAATCTAATTCTTTTTAATCATTTTTAAAAACCTAGTCTCTCAAAACTGAAAACACCAACACGCTAAATGTGAAGTATGCTCAAAGCGAAACTTCCTTAATTTAAACCAAGTTATAAGGTACAGTGCTCATGTTTTGCCTACCAGCAATGATGTGAGCGTCAAGGTAGGAATGATGTAACAAGGATACTTCAAGCCTTGTCAATAATATTTTTACATATTTCAAAGCTGACAACCAGGTCATTTGATTCGTTCATGTCTAAAAAGTATGAACATGTCAAATGCTTCCTATTTTAGCTGCTCATTTACTTTCGAATTCTTTTTTCAGGATATCAATAAAACCTTAGTTCTACCGATCTATCACGTTACAAATTATCATTGAGAAATGGAATTAGCAAAAGAAGCTTAGAATTTCAGTTCTGGTTACATTGTGGAATTTTTGCTTTCGCTTTCTCGTCGTAGAAAATCTGATTTGTTGATTCTATTGAGAGCACCTCAGTAATCTGAATGGTTGTTTAGGGAGTTCTTGGAAGAAATGTTGGAATGAGGCGGAACTAATTTTCCAAAACATTTCGTCAAAGCTTCCTCCGCTTTTATCTTTGTTTTCAACAAAGAGAGCTGAGTTGTTGAACTTGAAGAATTTCTCGCTGTAGTTTGGGATGCTGGCTTCCTTCATTGCTTCTAAGACAGGCGGGCTTTGGCTATCTGAAAAGGTTATCATCGTAAATAGGTTTTTGGAAACGTCTTCTCCAAATATAGACAGAATGGAATCAAAGATGTACTTCTGTGTTTGAGTAAGACTCGCCTGAAAGGACTGGACAACGAATCCGATACCATCGAGTTGGTTAATACCATCAGGTGGAGGGATGGAAAGGAATTTCTTTATTCGTTCAGTGATTTTCTTGTCTCCCTCTAATCCTTCAGCACCACCAAAACTAGGAGTGTCGACTACAGTGAATTTATATGGCACAGGTGAACCTTTCATGGGGTGAAACGTATAAGCAGTTACTTCCTGTGATTCACTGTGTGGTTGAAACGCTTTGGATTCTTCTGTTATGAGCTTGAAACGGAAGCTGTCTTTCCATTCTACACCAAGGATGTAGTTGACCATTCCGTTAATCAAACTCGACTTACCAGCACCTTTTTCTCCTACCACCATGAGCACCTTTTCTTCTGATCTATACCGGAGATTATCGATACGGCATGGTGTTCCTATACTCTGTCTTTTAATCTTGTCCTCTGGTCGTCTCATTTCGTCCCTCATATGAAACTTGTAGACTGACGGAGAACCATTTTTAAGCTCGTCTGACGTATATAATATGAATTCTGCAAGACGGAAGTCCATCGGGCCTACTTTCTGCTGCTGTCTTACCGGTGCCATATGTTGTGATTTTACTGATTGGAACATCTTTACAAGCGACAACCTATCAGCTGTCGTTTGTTCTCTGGTGAAAAGAAGGGTTTGTTTCAGTTAAAAAAGGTATTCATTGAACAAATTTCCGTCAAAAAGAGAGTCTGCTGTTTTTCTCTTATAATAAAGCCCACAGATAGGCCTGTAAGTCAAAGACCACACACCTGACACAACTCTCAGCTTGAATCAGACAAATCATTTGAATTAGAATTGTAAAGTAAAAGCATTATCTGTTTCGTTTAGATTCGGTTATATGACATGATAATAATTGATTTCTAAGAAATGGCGTCCTACTCGCGTCTTGTAATAATTAACAAATAGAGAAGCCTTGACTGTGCTCTATTCTGTTGTAAAGCATAAAGGAGGCGGCTAAAGCACGACAGAAGTGTTTGGAGAAACACGAGACGTAGTCGAGTGTTTCTCCCAATTTCTTTTATAATAAAGAATCAATTAAATTCCCCACGCATTACTTTCAATTTTCAAAACAAACTTTATTTCCAAATCGAACAACAATGTCGTCAGCATGCTTTATACTCTCATTAAGCACGCTACAGTAAGCCAATCGGAATCCCTGTTAGAATGGTTCAAATAATCTGCTTGGCTGTACAAGACTAAAGCTGTCAA